CTGTGTTCTGGTCCTTATGAAGTGGGCACCATCCTAAGATGGATTAGAAGTTACTTCTTGCTTTTTGCTATGTCCTGGGGCTGTTCGGATGGCCTTTATCCTTCAGTCGTCTGGGGTTGGGGTAAAAGCTGTACTAGACAGCACTGTCCAAAAGGTGTCCTCGTCGGTAACCTGGCTCTGTGGCAGTGCTGGAGACGCCTCGGGTCTGGCCCATCTCCCCACCAGGCTGCTGCAGCCATGGCTGTGTGTAGGTGTCAGGCACACGGAGGCTGGGAGGAGGGCATGAGGGACGACTGCGGAGTGGGAACCAGGCCCAGGTCTCCTGTCTGTGACTGTCACACGGTCACCTCCTCCTCTTTGAAAACCCATCTTCTTGCAGAGTAGATGAGTATAACAATCAGGGCTGTTGGTTGTTACTGAATAAAATGGTGATCTCACTTTGCTTGTGTCCACCACAAAAACGAAAGTTATATTTAAAGTTAAAGGAAAAAAAAATAAAGTTAAAGGAGCTTGTATTTTTCAGCCCTGTCTTCCAAGCATTTGCAGTTCAGCATATCAGTGTCCTGCACTTGGCTAAGCGTAGGTGCTCAGTATTTTTGTGTGTTTGGGATGAGAATATCAAGGAAAACAACATTTCAGAGGAGCTGACCAGACTCAGTGTATTCGTGGACATCAGTCGTGTTAAGTGTCAAGCACAGCTGGGTGTGGTGGTGCATGTCTGTGGTCCCAGCAGGCTGAGAGGCTAAGACAGGAGGGTCCCAAGTCCAAGCCCAGCCTGGACAACTTAGTGATTCAGTGAAATCCTGTTGTTTTTTTTTTTGAAGTTCTGGGAACATAGCTCAATCTGGGTCCCCTTCTTTCTGTGACCAGTCTTCAGTAACACATGCACGTGTGCACACACACATGCACACACATGCTGGCTACTTGTATGTGCCACGTGTGTCTGTACAACACAGACTACAGACACTCTCCTCAGGCCACCTAGACAGCTCATTTCAACCTGCCTGCTGTGGGTGGTCTGTGTAGTGCCTAGTTGGTGCCAGGAGAGGAAGGCACACTGGTGTGCTCGAGTCAGAGGCCAGGGGTGACAGGAGGTCCATCCTGGGGTCCAGTGACATGTGGTGGCTACTGCTGCTGCCTGCCCACCTCCTCTGCTGGAAGGGGGGACTCCAGGCGGGACTTGAACAGTTTTACCAGGAACTTGTTTGGACTCTTGGCTTGGGCTCAGTGATTCCAAATGCTGGCCATACTTTAAATTTTTTTTTAAAAATTTACTTGTTTATTTGGTATAGGGTCTTACCAGGCAAGTGACTATTCTACTGAGCTAACTCTCTGACCCCCCCCCCCTTTTTTCTTTTTGCGGTAGCAGGGATTGAACTTAGGACCTTGTACTTGCCTGTTTTTTTTTTTTTTTTCCCCAGAACCAGGGATTGAACTCAGGCCCTTGCGCTTGCCAGTGAAGTGCTTATTCCACTGAGCCATTCGTCTGGCTCCTATTTATTTATTTATTCATTCAGGGTCTTGCTATGCAGCTCGGACTTGTGATCCTCCTGTCTCAGCCTCCTCGGCTCTGGTATTACAGTCATGCGCCACCATTCTGCGTTTCAGTGCCTGGTGTTCTAGGGCCAGCATGGCATGCAGTACTGGGGATTGAACCTGAGTTCTTGGGTTTGCCAGGCAGGTACTTAGAGCTATCTCACCAGCCCTGGTCATACTTTAGAATGATCGAAAAGGGTCACAAAAATGGGATATATACCCCAGGCCACAGTGAAGACCCAAGAACTGCAGGTTTAGTGGCTCATGTGAACTCCCAGGCTGCCAGCCTCTAGCACAGGGGAAACACTTCCTCCAGTGTCCAGGCCCTGCTGGTCCCCAGCTTGTGGGGTTACCAGGTAATGCCACAGGCACTCAGGCTTGGAGCGTCACACAAGTGTGGGACCAGTACCAGCCGTGCTCAGCCCAGTGTGCAGACTTGAGCACATGCTGGCCTTCCTGGGCCCGCTGCACCGAGGGCGAGGCTCATAACAGGCACCCAGTTCCTCAGCCATGAATCTGAAACCCAGAACCTCCAAAAGTGAGGTGGTCTTCTCATGGGTCTTGGCCACTTGAGCTGCGTGTGAGGCTCTTCGTTATCTCTGTGCCCTTGAGAAGCAATTTTTGGATTTGGCTACAGACTGTTAACTAATGTGTGTCCTCATGGGGGCCCTCCACCTTCCCAGGGAGGGCCATGGAACCCACAGTGCACATGGTCAGTATTTTCTTTCTGAACTCTGGAACACACGTGGGCTGTGGCGCTGTGGACCTGTTATGGATAGAGAGGTGGTTAGTGGTCAGTGTGGTCCTTAGAAGGCACCCGTGTCTCCTGGCTATGCGTATTCTTGACCCTTTGGTGCTGTTGCTTTGGCACGCCAGGCTTTCCTCTCTAGGCAGTTCAGTGTCTTCTCTGATCAGAAGCATTGTTAGCCACTCTGTGCAGGCCACCAGGCTGGATGTCACTGGGACTAACCACATGTGTTACCTGATAGAGCCCTGAACTGATTCTGGAAAGAACACAGGAGAAACATGGAAAGTTTTTGTTTTTTAAAAAACAAACCATCTCCCAAGCCAGAAGAAAAAGATAGCTGGTACTCTTGCCTGGCCTCTGGGTGAGCTTTCTGCCTAGGAAACAGGGTTCTTCGTGGGCACGAGGGCTGTGCCTCGGGGTTGTAGCCTTCGCATGGCAGCCGGCTTAACTCTGTGCCTTTTTGCATCTGCATGAGCTCGCAGGTAACAGGCACCAAGGCCCTCAGCCATGAGGACTGAAACGTAGGACCTCAGTGAGGTGGTGCTCGATGCCAGGGCTGTGGTCCTTGGGCAGGGACCTTAGCCCATTGTGTGCTCCACCTTTCCAAGGAGGTGGATAGGACCCCCTCAGGGCTATAAGGCGAAATGCACTTGGCCTACGGAAACACTGAATAACTTGGAGGTTTTTGAGGAGTCGCCAGCTGATTTACGCAGTGGTTGTCCTTGAGACTGGGATGTTGAGTAAAATAAATCAGACACAAAAAGTGGTAAAGATAAGAAATGAGATGTGTTCAGTAAAGTACCTACTCCTAAGACGAATGTCAACATTACATACTGCAAATGTGGACTCATCAAAAAATTTTACATGTAGCCGTCCTCCATGAGCAGGACAGTAGAGGAGGCAAGTGGCTGTAGGCCTGTGCCGGCCATGGTTGGTCCTCTGAGCTGCTGTCTGTCTTGCACGGTGGCGCCTGCTGACTGTGAAAATGCTTACAGGGAGTTTTGTCCCTGAGGAGGCGATGGGAGGTGAAACCCCATCGGAGTTTGGCACGCCTGTCTTCACACACAGCCTGCCCTGGCTTTTGTGGGTGGAGACTCCAGTGACTGGCTTCCAGAAGACAGGCTGAGGATGGACCCTGGCTGGCCGCTGTCCAGAGGAACAGCTGCGAGAACAGCTGACCCTGCGCACAGTGTGCGCGTGTGCTGGGGCTCTACCAGGAACACCGGAGCCGTGCACACCTGGACAGGGTGTGTGCTGTCCTAGTGCAAATCCCTGACCCGCTGGCTATGTGCTGAAACTGCCCTCCTGAAGGAGAGCGTGCCGCTCACCCCGCGTCCCTCTCTTTGAGGAGTACCAGGACCAATGTGGAACTTTGGGGGCCCAGAAGCATCTGTTCTGAGCTCGATTTTTTAATCTCTTACTTGCTGGTCTCCTTTCTGGCCATGTGAGCCTTTCAGGAGCACTTGTTCTCCATGTGCATTTAGGGTCCTTCACCTTGATCATTCAGGAAACTGGTAACTCGTTCTGCTTTTGAGACAGGGTTTTGAAAGTAGTCCTGGGTCTTTGTCATCCGGGCTGGCCTTGAGCTTAATGTGTAGCCTAAGCTGTCCTGGCACTTGTGGCAGTCCTCCAGCCTCAGTTGTCCTGCGTGCCTGTGCCTCCAGACCCAGAAGGCGACTCATGTGACCTTGTTATCAGAAATTTCAGCCTAGATGCTGCCTTTGACAGATGTGGCAGGCACAGGAGGCTGGAGGCTGCCCTGCTTTGTGTCATGACTTGCGGGCTCTGAGGAGGGCCAGGAGGGGCACCTCATCTTGGGGTACACTGCCATGGGTGTCTGATACTGGAAAGGTCTCAAGAGGTAGCTGCGAGTTCCTGGCTTTCTGTAGAGAGCACAGTCTTGAAAAAGGTAGAAGAAAGGGCCCAGGGGCCGGACACTGCCTTCCTTCCTTGGTGCCTGGCCTGGGCGGAGCTTCGCGCCGCCGCAGATGGTGCCCGCTGCAGCGGGGCTGCTCCTGCTTGCTGGCGCGTGGGGGTGTGGTCCCACCCAGCTCGGCATGGTGCTGTTCACAGCAAGCACTCTCAGTTCAGAGCTGCCCCAGAGGAAGTGCCGCCTGGCCTGATGTCAGGGTTCACTGCTTCACCAGTGCAGTCCTGCGTACCCACTTTCATTTTGCCAGAGAATGCAGCTAGAGCTGGTAGTTTTTAAGGGGATTTTACAGTTTCACTGCTTGGTCCCTTTCTGTTACCACAGTGACGTTTATATAAAAGACCACTTGGATCACCTCCCGCCTTCTGCAGCATGAGAGAGCACTTGGTCCAGGCTTGAGGTTCTTGCCCCACAGCAGGGGCCGCCCTGTGCCCAGAGAGGGCTTGGCAGTGCCTGGGAGCTTTCTGAAAGGTGCATGTGGAGATGGTGGTGGGTGTTCCAGGCACTTGTGAAAGGCCATGGTGTGGGCAACACCCTCCAGCCCTTGCATGACACCCCCCCACCCCATGGTCCTTCATGCCAGGGTGAAGTGCTAGTGTTGAAAACCCTTGTTCTGAACTTGGTCAGATGTTTCTCCTTCTTGATTTCTCACAAAAGTGTAACCCTTCAGTTTTAACATTTTTATGAGATGAAGTCTTTCTATAGAAATCCAGTCTCTCGTCATTAGCTGAGATCTGAAGAATTAAAAAGTTTCTTTCTTTCTTTTTTTTTTTTTAATTCTACCAGGATGTGTATTGAAGTTCACAAAGACAGAAGCTCGGATACCCATCCGCGTAGGAGGATATACTTCCTAAGAGACTGTGAGTTAGAGCAAAACTTTGGTTAGTAGTATGGGAATTTTTGAGTGCATACCATTTGAAAAATAAAATAATTTCCCAACCATGGCTCCCAAGTTCCCCAGTTGGTATCTTTACCCGGCAGTCCACCTTAGGCTTGGCTTTGGACCTGTGTGTGGTTTAATAACTATGATGGGCTTGTGGTGTGCTCCAGGCATCCCAGTTGCCAGTCGTGCAGAAACCACTTGGGCAGTGCCCCACTGTCCTGAAGCCTGTGTTCCCAGGCAGGACCTGAGAACAGGAAGTCTGTCTACTCCTCCAGAGAGCAGAGGGGGCCAAGCAGGGCAGGCAGGTCCCAAGTAAGCTTGCCAAGGTGAGGAGCCCCTGGTCTTCCTGCCGCAGGAGGGCGTGCCTGGCACTGGGCCACCCGGGGCTTGCACTTCTGGTTCTCCAGCCGCCTGCCTCCGCTGTCCCCCGTTCTGCCTCACACTTGGCCTGGTGCTGTGTCCGGCATTCCCTTCCCTCCCCTCTCGGTTCCCAGCCTGGGGCTGCTGTCTCTCCACATCACTTTGCTGTCACTGCATTGCTCGCCCGGGGTCTTCTCCTCCCCTGCTGCCCCCTGGTGCGTGCCCTGACGGTCCCCCCAACCCGGGCAGCCCTTTGCCTGGGCCTCACCTTGAGCCCTGCACGTGGAGGAGTGGATGATTCACGTCAGGGCCCCGCCCTCCTTCTCACAGGCTTGGGGCTTTTGCATAGGGGATTTTTTTGCTGGTTATTTTTTCCTCACCTCTTAGTGTATGAAAAGAACTGAGGCCCTTGTGGGGTGGGTGGGGCAGTGACCGCAGGTTGGGGCGCTCTCTGGTCCCTGCAGCTGCCCAGAGTCAACCCCGGCTCCAGGAACGCAGCCAGCTGCATATTGATGTTGCTCGAAAGCTTGGGGGTGGGGGTGCTGATCACATGGAAGGAAATGGAGTTGCAGGCGGGGTATCCGTGTAGTTACTCCAACATGCAAATTGGCGTTGAGGGAAGTCGAGGCAGTGTGCTGTGTGCTCTGCCAGCCCTGCGCATAGCCACAGTGCAAGAAGTCTCATCTTGCTTGGAAGAAGGCATGGTCAGGGTGTTGCGCAGGATGTGGAAGAGGTGTGTGGCCCCAGTGACCTTGACCCTTGTCTGGCACAGGCTGATGCTAAAGTTTCTTTCACAATAACCTGGGATTCTCTTCCTAGCAACTTTTTTTTTTAACATTTATTTAGTGTGTGTGTGTGTGTGTGTGTGTGTGTGTGTGTGTGGCCAGCTCAGCCCACCAGGGGGCGGGGCTGGCTGGCATGTGGTGCTGGGGGATTGAACCGCGGTCCCTGTGCTTTGCCAAGCTTGTTCCAAGTAGGTGCTTTAGACCACTGAGCCATTTCCCCAGCTAAAGTTTCTAAGTGGAGAATGAATAGGCATGCTGGCACACCCCTATATCTCAGAACTTGGGAGGCTGAGTCAGGAGATCGCCCCAAGTGTGAAGCCAGCCTGGGGTACATAGTTCAAGGCCATGCTGAATTATGTAACTATGAAGTAAACCACTGTTTCAAAAAAAAAAAAAAAAACAAAAACAAAAGCAGGGCTGAACACAGGAGGATCACTATGAGTCCAAGCTGCGTAGTAAGACCCTGTACCAAATGCATTAAAAAACAAACAAAAATGAAAGAGGTTTACCTGACAAGGGCAAGGTCCTGAGTTCAATTTCTGGCACCACATAAAAAGTAAAATAAATAAAAAGTCTAGGTGAGTTAGGTGTTAGGGGGGTTTTCTGGTGACCCTGAGAGAAGGGGTGGCTGAGATGTCTGTGGTCCAGGAGGTCTTGGGTGAGACCCGCTGTACAAGAAGCGAGGCGCTTAGAATGTGGGCAGCGCCTTTTCCTGTGAAGGACTTCATTCTCTGAGCATAGTGGCACTGGCTGCTCTAGACAGATGTCAGTTGCTGCCTTAATTTCACTGTAAGGTTGTTAAGGCTCACTTTTATTTTTTTGCGGAACCAGGGATTGAACTCAGGCCCTTGTGCTTGCCAGGCAAGCACTTATTCTACTGAGCCATCTCCTCAGCCCCAAGGCTCACTTTTAAATTTGTATATCTTCTGAAAAACTGAGTGTCCACTGGGTGAGGGTTATGTTGAAGCTTTATAATAAAATCTTAGGGTAGAAATTGAGTGAAACTGAGTGTCAGGAACATGTGGACAGGAACAGACCTTTGAAGGAAACTTCTGTTAGGTTGGACATTCACAAGTTGAGGTCAAACGAAAGCTGTTCACTCCATCCAACTGTGGTCTTCAGGCTTTCAAGAAGTGCCCAGAAATCTCAACAAAATCAAGTTCTTTTGTTGCTTGAGATGGAAAATGCTTACATAGCGATTTAACATTGGACATAAATATTTTCAAGTGGCCACTGTGAGAGAGACGTGAGTATAGTGTTTTATTCGTATCGCTGTCATCCAGTAGGTGATTCAGGGATAGGCAGAGGTGGCACTCGTCTTGGATGAGCATGTGGCTCCAGCAGAGTGGAGTGAGTGTCATCACAGGGGCAGAGATGCTCTTGGAGGTTGCAGTGGCGTTCCTCTCGGAATCGCAGTGTCTAAAATGGGTTGGAGAAGCAGGTCTAGGAATGACTCGCGTTCGTAAAGGGTTGCGAGCGTAAGCGAAGGGGAGAGCCTGTGACACGCACCTGGGGTGGCTTGGGGCCTGTAGTCTGCTCTCTGGCCCTGTCCGGAAGAAGTGTGCTGGCTCTTGGCTTAAAAATTAGTGAATGCTTTATAGTTAAAACAGCAAAAAGCAGGCAGAAAGCACCTAAGGGGGGGGGGGACCCAGGCCTCCCTCCTCCACGCATTTGGACTCAGATCTCAGGGGTGGGGAGTCCCCAGTTTTTGCAGAGTGGATGGTCAGGACTGCAGGAAGCACCCTCTGTTTGAAAGGTGGCCTCTGGACTGGCAGGCCATTTGTCAGCAGTGATTCTGTTGCTCTCCGGGTCCTGGGCTGCTGCTGGTCAGGACCCCTGGGCTCAGGCTGGGCAAGTGCTTGTGTGGCCCTAACTGCTCCGCTTTTCCAACCAGCGGATGTCTTTGCAGTCTCTGACTTGTGAACAGAGGCTGTGAGAACAGAGAAGCTGGTCTGCGGACAGCAGAAGGCACGCAGCAGCTGCGTGTTTTCTGCCTAGAGAAACTCGGACTCAGGCTGGGCCCAGGCCACAGGTACTGTTGCAGGGCCAGCTGAGGAAAAGGTGGCCTGACTTCCAGGTGTGGCCGTCCCCGAGGATGAAAGCTGGATAGACAGGTCCTGACTGTTAGCTTGTCTGCCCAGGGACACAGGAAAGTGCAAATGAGAATGGCCAGATGTGGTTGCACATACTCATAGTCCCAAGAGGAGTGAGGCAGGAGGATCCCAAGTTTAAGCGCAGCCTGGGCAACTTGGTGAGACCTTGTCTCAGGATAAACAATATAAAGGATTTTGGATGGTACTCAGGGAGAGGATCCTGGGGGCAGTCCCCAGTCCTGGAGAAAAAGGAAGATTTTCCCACCCTGCCCGCAGTGGCGCAGCCCAGATTATCTGAGTGTGTGCCTTGGACCAGTGTGTGAGAATCCGGTCTTACATGCACACTGTACATGCTGTACCTGGCAGCACGGTGCAGTGGTGGCTCCCTGCCTGCCCTGGTCTTCTGAGCCAGTGGGGTGCCCAGCCTCTGCCTGGCTGGAGCCCACCTGGCCCACACTGCAGAGGCTGGAGGTTGTGTGCCTCTCCCCCAGGGATGAGCTGCAGAGGCTGTGGCCAGCTAGGCTCCTGGCAAGGCCTCACCTCCTAGAGTCCTCCCCAGGGTACCCCGAGGTGCCACAGCCTGTGACACAGCAGCAGCCTTTGCTGGACTCCGGTGTTAGTAGTTTTGGGGGGGGGCTGCAGAGTGCCCGGAGGGGCCTCGCTCGCACCTGTGCCTGAGTGTCCTGGGAGGAAAGCTGGGGTTTTCATGCTCAGTTTTCAAGAGAGGCGGGTACCTCCCTCACCTGGTTGTCAGTTCATTCTTCTCTTTTGGAGACCTAGTCTTAGGCACTTCGGACATTTTATTCTTTTTTAAAATTTTTAACAAAATCATTTATTTGTCTGTTTGTTTGTTTGGTATAGGGCCTCACTACACAGACTCATAGTGATCCTCCTGTCTCAGCCTCCCCAGCACTGGGATTACAGGTGTGTGCCACTATGCCCAGTTTTAGACATTTTAATAACAATGGAAACATACTTAGATTTTAGTTATTTTTTGGTACTTGGAATCTAACTCAGGACCTTGAGCTTGCCAGGCTGAGCTATCCCTAGCCCTTAAAAATTAGTTTAAAAACTACTTTTCATTAAAAATGTGGTACCCATTCAGGAAAATCACTATAGTAGGAAAGTCTCAAGGTGCCCCGACGAGGGCCCTGAATCCCGCCCAGGCAGTCACCCCAGTCCATAAGGAATGACACCAGCGGCGTCCTCGCCCGCCTCAGCCAGCAGTGTGAGGGCCCACACTGATGCGGGGCTGGGGGCGCGAACACCTTGCTGGTCTGCTTGGGGAACGAAGACAGAAAGAGGTCTGTGCTCGGTGCAGGCAGGCAGGATCCCTTCCCTGGTGTTTACAGTCTCCGGGTGGCTGTCTTCAGCTCAGGGCCCGCTGGGCGGCACACCGGAACTGGCCTGGAGGCTCGCAGGTTCTTTTTTCTTTTTTGCAGTGCAAGGGATTAAACTGAGTGCCTCACTTTGCACCGTAGTCCCAGCCCTTCTGTATGTTTTCTTTTGAGACAGTGTCTTGCTAAATTGCCTAAGCTGGACTCAAACTTGTGATCCTCCTGCCTCAGCTTCCCAAAGTGCTGGAGTTACAGGCATTCACCGCCACACCTGGGTCTTCTTCTGAGGAGAGACTTACTGTAATCCTACAGCACCAGCCATCAGATTCAGCATGTATAGCGTGTACTACCGGATTCTCTCACACTGGTCCAAGTGCACACACGAAGATAATCAGGACTGCA